TCAAGTGCACGGAGAGAAAACCGAGTGAACGTTTCGATTCTAGTGACGACTCTTCAGAAGTGCTCGAAACATTCACTGTTTTCATTCCACAGGTGCTGCATTTTCTTAGGAAATTCCAGTTTAGAATTAGATGGATGTTTGGTTTCTTACGTTTTTATGGACCAGTGCTGACAGGGTGGGCCAAAGGGCCTTGTTCTGTGGTGTAAAACTTTATCACTAACCTTTTCCAACTGATCACTCAGGTGAGGCTTTGCTGAAACCAATCTATCTTCCTCTGAGTATTTCTGCTTAACTTTTTTTTTGATTTAAAAACATTACTTAATTACCTTTTCATGTTGGTTGATTCTGTGTTATAGGTCATGTCACGTGTTAAAGCATTGAGCCCTAGTAAGACAAATTAAGTTTTCAGTGCTTTTAGTGTGAGCTTTGAGGTTTTTGTAATCTGATGTCTTATGGGAAAGAATGACCTTTCTGTTTCGTCTGATATTTGAGTTGGTGTGTTTGTGTTTAAGAACATTAATGAGCATGGTATAACATAGTGTGGAGCTGGAGGAGCACAGCAGGCCAGGCAGCATCAGAGGAGCAGGAAAATTGACGTTTCGGGTCGGGATCCTTATCCAGAAATGGGAGCTTCTGGAGAAGGATCCGGAAATGTCAATTTTCCTGCTCGTGATGCTGCCTGGCCTGTTGTGCTCCTCCAGCTCCACACTGTGTTGTCTCTGACTCCAGCATCAGCAGTTTTTACTATCTCATTAATGAGCATGGTGATTTTTAAGTGCAATGCTGAGTACTGACAGGAGTGAATGTAGTTTATTAGATACTCAACTGTTTCAATTGAGCAGCATCTAGTGAATCACTTGGACCTATCCTATGGAAAGCACCTGTGGTCCTGCTTGAAAGTCAAAACTGAAGTGGCAGGAATGAGATGTTCTAATGAATTGGAATCCCCACAATATGGAAACAAGCCATTCGGCCCATTGAATCCTCACCGACCCGCCAAAGAGCATCCCACCCCGCCTTCCCCCCCCCCCCCCCCCCCCAATCCCTGTCCCTGTAACCCTACATTTCCCATGGCTAATCTACCCAGTTTGTACATCCCTGGACACTGGGCAATTTAGCATGACCAATCCACTGAATGTGCACACTTTTGAACTGGGAGGGCAGACACACAGAAAATGTGCAAACTACTCCAGACGGTCACCTGAGAGTGGTATCAAACCTGTGACCCTGGTGCTGTGAGACAGCAGAGCTAGCCGCTGTGCTGCCAGAGCGCCAGACTCCTCCTGTAATGTACCTCAATAGCTAACTTTTAAAAATTATCTTTCAGGCTTGTGCTCGACCATTAATAACAGTGTACAGTGACAAGGGAGAAATATCAGGCAAAAATGTTGTTATGCCTGCTGTTTTCAAGGCTCCCATCCGGCCAGATATTGTGAATTTTGTTCACACAAATCTACGCAAAAACAATAGACAGCCGTATGCTGTGAGTGCAGATGCAGGTAAGATATATTGGTTTTGTAAATGATGCCATGTATGACACTTTGTGATCTTTTCCCTTTGGTTAGTCAGTGTGAGTTCAAAAAATTTGCCTCTATAAACACAAAGTGAAGTTAAGTACTGTTTGTGTTGATTGGCATTTCTACTTTAGATGAGTAGCTGGGTAAGACATTGTGGAATGGCTCTGTGGCTGTAACTGTTAACCAGTATCCCTCTGCTAATCCAGAGCTTAATGTTTTGCTGTAGTGGGTGCTGGAAATCTGAAATTAAAAACCAAATATGTGGGAACACTGCGGTTAGATAACATTTGTGATGGTGGTAATTAATGAAAGTTCGGATTAAAAGGGTCTCTGAAAAGTTAACTCTCCACAGATGTTCCCTGTTGTGCAAGTTTCTAGTTTTTTTTTCTGTTTTTAACTAAATTGAATTTGGGGCATGGAGTCTGTTACTTCTAAAACAGGGTTGAAAGTACAGTAATGCTGTTGCATTTGGAAACTTGACTTTCTACAGTCACTTCGGTGTCAGATTTGCCTTGATTCCTATACTGGCAGCATTCCAAAAATACGAAACTAGGTTTGGGCTGACTTCTTTTGACAATGCAATTAACATTTTAACAGTGGAATTATCATATCATATCATAGAATCCCTACAGTGTGGAAACAGGCCCTTCGGCCCAACAAGTCCACAATGACCCTCGGAGCATCCCACCCAGACCTATCCCCCTATAATACCTCGAGACTTTTTTTTTTGACAAAGACATGCTGGAAACACTCTGAGATCTATGGAGAGAGGAATAAATACCTTTTTAAAAGATGATTTGAAAGAAGTTTCAAGATGCTTAAGGAATCAATTTGGGTAGATATAAAATACTTGTGCAGTTTGGGAAGTTTAGGACCAGGGAGTATAATGTAAAAGCTAGAGCCAGACTTTTCAGGAGTGACATTAGGAAGCACTTCCATGTAGTATTGTGGAAATTTTGAATAGCTACTGATGCAGCATCAATTATAAGTTAGAAATCTGAAATTGATAAACTTCTGTAGCCACAAATAGAGGGATGTTAGCCAATGATATATTTGTACCCGAACTCCATAAATCTAATCTCATCATTGGAGCAAGCTTGAAGGACTAAATGGCCTATTCCTGTTCCTATATTCTCATGAAAGGAGAAGACAGGTGCCACATTTAAGATTATGAAAATCTGTGGTAGGCTAGAGATGGATGATGCTCCCATTTTGGGGGGAGGTGATGCTGCCAAAAGTAGGGACTTATAAACATGAAATTCTGAAAAGGCTCAAAGGAATTCTGGAGAAACTTGTTTTCCTGGAGTATGGTTGCATATGAAAATGGCTTCTTTTGTATGAGTGCATTTTAGAGGAAACTAGATGAACATGAGAAATAATAGGATAAAATAGGCTGAGATTGTGAGAGGTGGCACATTAACAAGGGCATTGTGCAGTGATGTGAATACCTGTTTTCGGGCTGCACAGTCCTTGTGTAGGATTCGTTTTGATTTTCAACTTGCTGAATACTGAAAGTCCAGTACTTCTGGGTACTAATTGGAAGTTCACTTGGAGCCTGTATAGGTTAGTCAATGGTTTTGTTTGGAAATTTGCTCAATTGTTTGTATTTGACATAAATGTTTGTTTTTCAGGTCACCAAACCAGTGCTGAGTCGTGGGGTACTGGCAGGGCTGTGGCTCGTATTCCCCGTGTACGGGGTGGTGGCACTCATCGTTCTGGCCAAGGTGCTTTTGGAAATGTATCCTATTCAATGTGCAAAATCAAACATTGCCAAGTGTAATGTGTACCCACAACCCTCTTTTATGTTCTCACCTTTAAGCAGGCACTCATCATGTATGGTTTTATTGCTGTGATGGTGTAATTTGCATCTTACACTGTGCACAGTGGCAGTTGCCTTCTGTCATTACACTGGTACAGGGGAATGACGAACAGTGAAGTCTGAGCAATGTGGATGTCCAGGTTTTATTTTTGGAATAGTTATGCACCTTAACCCACATTACAGATGTGCCGTGGTGGGCGTATGTTTGCTCCTACAAAGACTTGGCGCCGTTGGCACCGCCGAGTGAATGTGACCCAGAAGCGATATGCCATCTGTTCTTCTCTGGCTGCGTCAGCCCTCCCTGCTCTCGTCTTGTCAAAAGGTAAGAACGAATCGCATTTAATAAAAGCAATATATTTTGTTCAGATCCTTAATGGTTAGAACACCAGTGAATTTTGGCTCTTGAAACCCAAGAGACCAGGGAGGTTTTTTCTTCCCTCCCAATGGCTTCCATCATTGTTTTGTGTTGGCTATATTATATTATCTAGAGTGCAGTGACATGTTAAATGAAATAGAAGAGACTTTGGAGTTAGTGTTATACAGTAGCTAGATAATTGTGCAATGGATTTGTATCCAGGCAATTTCTGAATAAATTGAAAGTTGGAGCTTTTCTTCAATGCTTGCCATCAAAGTGAGTCATTCTAGAATAAAAACACAGCTAGTGGGCTACTTGCAACTGCTCAAATTTGTCCTGATTTCAAAATAGCTACTTTTGAGTAACGCACATGCATGTGAATTTAAGTGGCACTGACAGCAGAAGATATTAATGGGATTGGCAGAGATTACTATGTTGCTAATGGGACAGTATTGTGGTTCTTAAATCATTTGGATTTTACAGCCAGCCTGCTCCTTGGGGTGTATTTTAAAACATGCTACGGTTTTATGGATTGGTGCTTTGAAACCCAAGAGCTTGCTGTGATGCTGTAATTTGCGTCTAACGCTGCGCACAGTAACAGTTGCCTTCTGTTATTACACTGGTGCAGATATATGACGATCATTTGGATCTGAGCAGCTCCTGATTGTGTTAATGGATATTTTCAAATTTGAGTGATTGGGCATTTAAGTCTTTCAACAAGGCCACTTAAGACCAGCGGATCTTTGTTGCACCCTGTATCGTGGAGTTTTAAAGGCAGTCAATTTGTCCCATTGTGATGCTGCTTCTTGGCTTTTTCCTTTAAAATATTATGTTCTTTTTGCATCACTGTTTCTGGTAAGAAATTCCATGATCTGAGAATCTGTTATAATATCTATAATCTTAATCTGATCATAGTTCATGTTATTGTTTCTAAACTGGTTCGGCCACATCTGGAGTATTGTGTCCAGTTCTGGTTGCCTCATTACAGGAAAGATGTGGAAGCATTGGACAAGGTGCAGAGGAGATTTACCAGGATGTTGCCTGGAATGGAGGAAAGGTTGAGAGAGCTAGGGCTTTTCTCTTTAGAACGACGAAGGATGTGAGATGACTTGATAGAGGGGTACAAAATGATCAGAGGTATAGAGTGAGTAGACAGCCAGAGACTTTTTCCTAGGGTGGAGGTAGCTATTACGAGGGGGCATAGTTTTAAAGTGAGTGGAAGTAGATATAGAGGAGATGTCAGAGGTAGGCTCTTTACTCAGAGTGGTCGGGGCGTGGAATGCATTGCCGGAGAGGGTAGTGGCGTCAGCCTCATTAGAGGCATTTAAGTGACTATTAGATAGGCATATGGATAATAGTATAAGGTAGGGGTGGAAGTTAGATAGACCTTAGGATTAGGGTAAAAGTTCGGCGCAACATCGTGGGCCGAAGGGCCTGTACTATGCTGCACTGTTCAATGTTCTATGTTAACATGAGACATGAATGGAAATATTGTTTATGATTAGGGGTTAGATAGGAAATATTCTGCTTTGACCAGTTCTGATTTTGATTTTTGTCTTGCTTTTGGAGTCATCTCTGCAATTGACATGAGAAATCTGACCAGATTTACAACTTACTGCAGGTCATCGCATTGAGGAAATCCCAGAGCTCCCACTTGTGGTTGAAGACAAGATTGAGAGCTACAAAAAGACAAAGGAGGCTGTTTTGATGCTTAAAAAGCTGAAGGCCTGGAATGATATCAAAAAGGCAAGCAATTTTTCATCTCAATGACAGTGATACACAGAGAGGAAAAGATTTCACTTCTCGTCCGTGTTTCTGAAGATCTGATCTTAGCTGATTTTTCAGAAAAGCGTGTGGTATTTGGAATTGGTCAAAGGAAACTTTTTTCTTCTATATAGGTTTATGCTTCTCAACGTATGCGTGCTGGCAAAGGTAAAATGAGGAACCGCCGTCGTATCCGGCGCAAGGGTCCATGCATTATCTACAGTGAGGACAATGGTGTTGTAAGAGCTTTCAGAAACATCCCAGGTAATCCTGTCTGGAGAGTTCGCAGTTTGTTGTCTACTATGAGCAGGAGTGTACCTTTGTTTTAGATTTTTGTTAATATAAATAGTTTTTTGCTTACTGTGAATTGACTTATTAAATTCAAATTATAGTGTTGAAGCAAGGTCAAGAGTACCATTCAGTAACTAATTGGCTTTTAAATACCGAGAGCAGTTACTGTTCAGTCTGGATAGAATGATGACATTCCACTTCATGGTCCGTGTTTTTGAAAACTTGTGATATAAGTGGAAGTTCTGACTTCAGTGGCAGTTGAGGGGTATTGCATACTATCACTGGAACCATTTTGTAAGCCTTTTGTTACCTAAGGCTGTGTAAGAAGTTACATTTTTCTTTTTGTTTTTAAAAAAAAAAGTTCTCTTCTGTGGCTCTGTTCGTTCTTGTAGAAAACTGTTTTGTATACAGGCCCTCTCCATGTAGCATGGGTGAGTTTGTGCTTACAAAACAAATCCATTGCCATCAGTCTTATAATGGTTTATTGCAATGTTATGAAATGACATGAGTGAATGTAGACCATTTTCATTGAAGAATCTAATGCTGCTTTAAATTGTCTGCTGTAGGCATAACTCTTCTCAATGTCAACAAGTTAAATGTCCTAAGACTTGCTCCTGGTGGCCACGTGGGGCGATTCTGCATCTGGACAGAGAGTGCCTTCCGCAAGCTGGATGACCTATATGGAACTTGGCGCAAACCCTCCAAATTGAAGATTGGATACAAGTAAGGCTGTGTGATATGATGAGAATAGGTTGGTGCAGTGAAGCCCCTCTTTTAAACTAGTTTTTATGAATTGCCTTTTCAATTTCCTCCATTATCTGTGGGTACTGCAACTTTACCAAAATGGCAGTTGCAAGTATAAAGTGGTCCTGTCATGTCTGATACGCACTTCAGGTAACCGAGGAGGTTGGAGGTCACTTGCAGCACTTCTACCCTGTTGAAATCACTGGCTTTTCTTTAATCCCCTTGAGAATAATTGGGAGACATTCTGTAATCTTGTGACAATGATGAGATTCCACTTCATGGTCCGTGTTTTTGACTGTGAATGATATTGTTGGAAGTTCTGATGTGTGACAAAAGCAGGAAGTTAACATTAATACAGATTGTCCAGCACAACAAAGATTGTGTTTAGCATTACTTTAAATTGAGAATTACTTTGGGACATCCTGGATACCTAATAAGGCACTAAATGTATAAAAGCAAGGTGCTGGAAATCTGAAACAGAACAGAATGCTGGAGAACCTCTGATCTGGTAGCATCTGTGGAGGGGAAACAGTTACCATATTTTTGAGTACAGTATGACGCTTCAGATCCTTCAGAATCTTCTGAAGAATCATATCAGACTCTAAATGTAAGTCTGTTTGCATCAAATGTGTAATGTTTACTTATTTTCTGTTTTAAAGCCAGCTGTGTTGCCCAAAATACCATGGCTTCTATTGACATGATCTTTTCTTCCCTGCAACAATTCTACTAGTGGTTTTAAATTTTATTTCATTTTTTGGTTCTTGCTATAACTGTTGGTTTTTATAATCAAACCCAGCCTTCCTATTCACAAGATGACAAACACAGATCTGAGTCGTATCATGAAGAGTCCAGAAATCCAGAAGGCTCTTCGTCCTCCAAAGTAAGTTGAGATGTTTCGATTGGGAATTAATACATGTTTGTTGGAGTTAGGTTATTAACTCTCCTGCAATTTTAGACAGTGATGAGATTCCACTTCATGGTCCGTGTTTTTGATACGTTATGATATTAGTGGAAGTTCTGATGTCTGAGCTGTAACCTGGGGCTAAGGTTGGGATGCAAGGAGAGAGCATTCAAAGCATGCTAAACTGTAAGGATTATTAGTAGAAACTTTGAACTAACCTGGCATGGTCTGTCCTCCATGCGCTGTGGAGTGTCACTGCTGCCTCTGATTGCAGTTTCCTGATTTTATGCTTTTTTTGTGAGAGCAGCTGAGATCATGTGCTGTTAAACTTTCCAATATGCACGTTCCTGTGCTTTGTTTCATTTTGTAAGCATTGAGCTTCTTTTCCTGTACTCCTGTTGCTTTACTGTCAATGATGTCTGAGCTGAGATTTTTCATGCTTTCCACAGCAAAAAGATTGAGCGCAGAGTCCTTAAGAAGAACCCATTGAAGAACTTGAGGATCATGATGAAACTGAATCCATATGCCAAGACTGCACGGCGTCGTGCAATTCTCCTGCAGGAAAGGAATGTAAGTGGCCATGTACATAAAATAGCTGTTCTGTTATGGAGCAGCTTTCTGGGATTGGTGATTTTTTTTTTTTTTTTTTTTTAAATTGCATGAAACATTTTTAATTACCTGGTCTTGACTTTGTATTGAGATTTAACAGAATAGCTGTTTTGAGCTTTGTCCTCTAAAGAATTCAAACAGGCCAATGATGAATTGGCAGTTAATGCACTGTGAAAATGTTGGGCATTATTAGTTTCCATTGTAGCTCTGAGTGTAGCCTAAATTATTTGATTACATTTTTAACAATGAGAAGTTCTTGCCAGAAAGTATGGCAAAAACTGGTTGCAAAACATTTCTGATACCATACTGAGAGGTGACAATGGTACAAAAGTCTGAAACAATGTTTGTCTTATTCAGCTTAAATATTGATGAGCTCCCCCAACTCCAGGAAAAAAAACTGGTACAGGTTTTAGTCTTCTAGCTTGTGCTGAGCCAGTTAGATGTATGAATATTTTATAAACTTATTTTAATATTTGCTTTAATCTGACTGCGGTGGACATTATATTAGTAATTTCAAGTGGTGCAGGGATCCTTTGTAAGCAGTTCACTGCCAAATCACAAACATTTTAATTATTGCAGCTCTGCAGCTGCAGTTTTCTAAGATGAGGTTGGTGGGGATTAATTGTTGGACTAATTTTTTTTTCCTCCTTTTTCAGCGCAAAGCCAATCTGGAAAAGAAGCAAAAGGCAGCAGCATAAACCTAAAGCTCCTGTATTAAAGGCATACGCACACATTGCTGTGTGGATTCAGTTTAAATAAAATCTATTTAAAATACATACGTTTATGCAGCCTTTCCTGTTGTCCAGCTAGGTGGTTTCATCACGTTTGTACTTAACACAGATCAGGCAATACAAATGTTGAACTGGATTACTGATATTTTGTACTGTTCATTATCCCATTTACTAGTCAAATCACATCAGAAATATTGCCAGACTTTTCAAAAGATGTGGGGAAGTGACTGTGAGCTGGTTATTGATCACTTTTTTTTAAGTGGTTCTGCTTTTTGGCATCTTGTCACTTGGCAGATATGATCATGCAATAATACTGCATGGATGGAAGCCATTTGGCCACTCCTGCTTGTTCTGGTTGGTAGGTGTGTCAAACTAATTTCCTTCCACCCTTTCAGGCAGTGCATTCAACATGCATCAATAAGATGTGCAGACTTGAATTTGAGGGATGATGTTCTTGAAACTTTTCCAAACTCTTCATACTGATTTTGGATCTATTGGTATTATCCTATCGAGGACAGAATTTTGAAAAGTTGTTTCGGCTTAAATTTCTGGTCACGTTCCATTTAATGTCCATTCTTCCATCAGTTGTGTGATGGAATGTATGGTATTGCCAAGTCTGCTGTTACAGTACTGCTCATCACTATATTCTACCTTGTTATAAAAGATTCTGGAGCCTGTGGGTGTATTTGTCCTGTTTGTTTAATGACCCATAAAGATGACTTTTCTATTTGTCACAGACTCAATGCCATGTTCTTCTAATTGATTTGCAAAGTAGCAAAATATAGATAGACAGGGAAACTTTAAGGTCACATTATGATCATTTATTGCAACATCCAATTAATGATGACTTTAGCAGGAACACAGTTTGAAGGGAGTTCTGAATTACACACTTTCTCACATTATACACAATTCTAGCAGTCAACAATATTTTCTTACACCATTTGTACTTAAAGAAAGATTGTCTGATTTTAGTGTACTGCATGTCTCTTGTCCCTGGCAGTTTTCCAGTTTGGTTTTCAGAATTTCTACAAAACAAGAATCTTGGATAAGCTGTCATCTGGTTGGCCATTTAACAGTTTCATGTTGAATAGCAAGTGGAGGCACTCTAGTCATACAGCTTTCTAGCTTGAAACAAGGATTTTGTGGTAATGTCCCTGCCACTGAGCCAGGAGATCTGGGTTCAATTCTCATCTCTTGCAGAGGTGTGTAATATCTATGAATGGATGGAGTTGTCAGGTGGGAGCTGCACCATAGGGGAAAAAAATGTGGTCTATAGAGCCCTTCAGGGTCCATATTTTGAGACAGCTGCAAAACGTTAAAAGCACAAGGTGTGCTGGTGTGAGCAGAGTGTAGTTTGGTAAATGTTAACCCTAAAATACAGACTGTAGTGAAACTATGAACACAGACCTCATTTTTTTTTTTTCTGTAAGTACTATTTTTTTATGTGGCAACACTCATTTTGATTATATTAACTGACTGATCATTTGGGTCAGGGTGGTATAATACACATCCATTTGAAAAGGGAGCCGTTAGTCAAAAAGGTTTGAAACCTACTGAAATAGGGTGTGTCCAGTTGTTAAATATTCAGGGATTCCCTCCCTTTACCCCTTTCCAGGATAGATCAATAACAATTCTAGCTTCTGTTTTATTTCATTGCTGCCTCTTGACAATTTAGGAAATGAGCTGAAATAGTGGCTAAGGAGAAATGTGTGGGAATCCCACAGCCGGTGGAAATCCCATAATTGGCTTATTTTGGCACATACAAGTAGCCAGGCTGCATTAATGATTTATCTAGTGACTGGTTCTTATGTAAATCCAGTCTGCTACTGACTAGTGATTTTGAATACCACTTTGTTTAAACTGGCTGACAAAAATGTCAATGAAGTTGCAATTCCCTAACTGATGAGGCAGGGCAAGAGTTTCACATCTATGATTTGCTTCTGAGAATTGAAAGAATACTTGCACACTTTTAGTGATAAGAGTTCTGTTCCTGCTGTTTTGGTAATTCCTTTTGGTGAACAGTGAATTTAATTAAATCCAATGCAGTTACTGTTCCAGCTGTTCACTGGTGCCTAACAGATTGAAATCAGCTACAGCAATCTTAAAGACTGATGTTCAATGTGAGCAGAACACAGGCTGCTCAGTTGTAAATCTCATTAATAGAAGAAAAAAATGCATGTTGTGGTAATGTTTAATATTGTCATTTTTAAAAGTACTATTTTTCCCCATATGTACCTTGAGGAGCTAAATGCATCAAAGATTCTTGAAATTAGATGTGAACATGGAGTTGATGCTGAGGACTGAAATCAGATGGTACAGGATGCTATTCTGAATACAGAATGTCAAATTGCACACTTCTGTCATAGCTGTACTCTTCCATTTTTTAATCCACTCTAAAAATGATTCCAAGTTCAAACACTTACTACTTGTATGGTTATTATTATACACCAGTAACAACCCAGCAACTAAATGCATTTCCACCAGTGTTGTAATTAGGGGATTGAACCAAGGTACTTCTGTTTTGGCACAATCCTATCAGGGAAAGAACAGAACTCTGCTGACTAGTCAATATGTGCAGTGGGATTAATAGGAAACTACTCCATGCTTCAATTGACTGCTGTAATTTGTAAGCATATCCCCCAAGTATCCATTCACTTTTTTCAACCTCCCACCAAGTCTTGTTTGCTTTATGAAGTCTGAGGACAACACTTGTTCACTTTTTCATTGCCTGCAACAATTTCAGTTCTAAAGACTTCCTCAATTTTTTTTTGAGACAATGTTGCCATTTGCACCTCTTATTTCTTGTCTTATGACCATCACCATTTTGTTTTTAAAAAAACTCCTCTGTCTCTGATACTATTAGACTTTCCCTATCATTTCTGCCCTGTCTCTGTACTCATTTTTTAGTCTATTGACCCTGAAATATTAATTTTTCAAATGCTGCCTAAAGAATATTTCCAGGAACTACAAATGTTTTTTTCTAATGATCTGGTCTTTACTAGTCCATTGCCATTGCATTCAAGGTCTGTTAGAGGTGATGGCAGAGTAGTAATGTGACTTGTGACACAGTGCTAGAATGAAGCCAGAAGTCCATGTTCAAGTTCCATCTGCCTCAGAAGTGCCATGTCTCAAAAGGATAGTTTTAAAAAAAAAAAAAAAAATTGGTGATCACCACTCATTAAATGAAAAAAATCAGTCCTCCTGTAGACAGCATAGTGATCATGTCACCAGTAATTCAGAGGCGCAGGGCAAAAGTTTAAACCCCACTGCAGATGGTGGGATTAAATTCAAACTTAAATCTAGTATTAGTAATGGTGTCTATGAAAGAATGAATTGTAAAAACCCATTGTGAACCTAATGTCATTTAGGGAAGGAAATTTGCCATCCTTACCCTATCTGGCCTACAAGTGAGTCCAGGCTCTCAGCAACGTGATCGACATTTAGCCTGTTGTGGATTAGCAATAAATGCTGGCCTTGCTCCAGACACCCACATTCATGTGACCACAGTCAGTGGAATTGATCCTACCCACAGCTGGGAGTGAGTACTCTGAACAGAGACTTTCAAACTAGATAGGCAGGAGTAAAGTGGTTGTGAATGTAATTTGTTTAAAATTCTAAAAACCTTTGGTGCTATTTCATTTTATTCTGATGGTATCTGGGCTTGAATCTTGCAAAGGCTCCCCCCTGTAATAATTGGGCTTAACACAAGCTGATCTGATTCAAACCACATGCAATGTACTAAATTATACATTAGATTTTAATTCTTTATTATTGTGTTCCCTTCATTGTATTAAAACAAAGATTCACTGCATGCTGTATTCAATATCTTCCCCACTGGCTCAGCAAGTTCTTTGTCTTGCCACTCCCACCCCAAGAACTCCAGCAAAACCCAAAGAGTTCCTGCTAGCAATTAATAACAATTTCCCAATCTGACTGTACAGGGCAAATCCTTGGCGGAATAAAAGCCCAGCTCCTCCTGACTATCAAGGGATAGTAGTGAACAAATGAATGGCTAGTATTAAGGATGTAATAGAAATCAGGGGGAAAATGTAATTTTAATCAGTTCTAGTTTCTCACTTGCATACAAAGAAATAGGTTTTCTGGATGGTTGGATCATTGCCAGTTAAGGGAGGATAGCATGTCTACCTCCCTCTTTAAAAGGATGAGTTTTAACCCTGAGCATAGTGGGATGTCTCCACAATCATCCACTAAATTGGGTAGTAGAATGGTTTTCTGCTGATCGAAGAATGAGATGCCCCATTCCCTTTTTAGCTCTTAAACTTAGCCCCACTCAAAACTTTATGAATTCCTATTGACAAATTCTAACAAATGAGGGGCAGTTAAATTTGGCATTTTTTTTTTTTAAACAGACATCTTTCCCTTTAAAAGTGAAAGTACATTTTTAAAATATCTTTAGAATTATTTATGGGACAGAGGGATATTGATGAGGTAATGTTAGCAGAAACATCCATCAGTTTGCTGCACAAAGAGCCGACACTTTTAGCAGCTTGAGCATCTACACTGTAGGAGTATGTGTTGGCGTACTCGGCTGCTTCAGGCCAATAGTTGTGCACAGCCAACCTGCGAAATCCACCTCTTCTGCCTCTGATCGTTTGATGAAAGCATGAGCCTGCCACAAAATAAGACATTGATCATTAGCATCATAGATTCATGAGGACGAGAACAGGCCCTTGGGCCCAACTCACCCATGCCAACCACGTTTCCTAAACAGAACTAGTCCCATGTGCCTACATTTGGCCCATATCCCTCTAAACCTCTCCTATTCATGTAGTTGTCCAAATTTCTTTTAAATGATGTAATTGTACCAGCCTCTATCACTTGCTCTGCCAGCTCATTTCTTATACAAACCGCCCTCTGCATGAAAACATTGCCCCTCAGGTCCCATTTAAATCTTTCCCCTCTCACCTTAAACTTATGCCCTCTGGTTTGGGATTCCCCTGCCCTGGGGAAAAGATCTTGTCTGTTCACCCTATTTATGCCCCTCGTGATTTATAAACCTCTAAACGGCCACCCCTCTGCCTCCTACACTCTAAGGGGAAAACAGTCCCAGCCTATCCACTTTCTCCTTATCACCGAACCTTCCAGTCTCAATAACTTCCTTGTAATTTGTTTTTTTTTTTTGCATCCTTTCCAGTTTAATAACATTTTTCCTATACTGTGAGACAAGAATTATGCACAGTACTCTAAATGTGGCCTTACCAATGTCTTGTATATCTGTAACATAACATCCCAACTCCTCTACTCAATGCTCTGACAAGCATCATCATCTGTCTCCCACCGTCAAGCCAATTTTGTGTCTAATTGGCTGGCTCTTGCTGGATCCCATGTGATCTAACCTTACTAACCAGTCTACCATTTGGAACCTTGGCAAAGATCTTGTTAACATCCATGTAGACAAGAGGAGCATTACCTCATCAAAAAGCTCAATCTTATTTGTGAGACATAATTTCCCATGCACAAAGCCATGCTGACTATCCCTAAACAGTCCTTGCCTTTCCAAATGCATGTAGATCCGGTCTCTCAGAATTTCCTTCAACATCTTATCCAGTGACGTTAGTCTCAATGGTCTGTAGTTCCCAGGCTTCTCCCTGAAGTCTTTCTTAAATAATGGCACAACATTAGTCATCGTCCAGCATCTCACCCATGGCTGTTGGTGATACAAGTATCTCTGCTAGGGCCCTGCAATTTCTTCCCTAACTTCTCACAATAGGGATTTATCTACCTTTGTGCGTTTTAAGACCTCCAGCACCACCTCTTATGAGATGTGGACCCTTTCAAGACATCACTATTTACTTCCGAATTCCCTAGCTTCCATATCTTTCTCCACGGTAAATCTCAATGAGAGATATTTGTTTTAGGATCTCATCCTTCTACTGTGGCTCCACACATAGACGACCTTGTTGATCTTTGAGTGGCTCTATTCTCTGCCTAGTTACTCATTGCCATTAATACAGTTGTAGAATCTCTTTGGATTCTCCTCTACCTTATCTGACAAAGATTTAGTTAAATTGAGAATATCACCAACCTGATCTAGATGTGTATTGCCATTCCAGAATAGTCGCCGAGTCAAAGTCCTGCAATGCCTAATGGTGTTGTGACAGTACATACACCACACTGACTACAGCAGCTCACAAAACCACTGAGGGTAAGTGAAGCTGAGCAAGAGATACTGGCTTTTTCCAGACTAATATACCCAGAACTTTTCATCCCTCTTAATTAAGTCATAAGTGCAGAGCAGACAAGAGGGTCATTATGTCTTGTGGCCCAGTGGTAGTGACCATACCTTTTGGACAGGAAGTCCATGATCCTGGAGGTGTTGTCACATCCAAACAGGTGGATTGGGCTATGATTTGATCCACAGAACTTTCCTCAACCTTTTATTGTTTTCATTTTCAAGTCCAATTTTTATAAACCACCATTGCAGCAGCTTTCACTGTCCTTTTGAGAATGGTTTCAGAGATGAAGAACTTCAGTTAGATGGACAGATTGGTGAAGTTGGGACAAGGAGGTTTTCTTTGAAGGAGGTTGAGAGATTTGATAAAGCATTCAAAATCTTGAATGGTCTGGCTGAAGTAACTAAGGAGAAACTGTTCCCATTGGTTCCCATTTAGGGTAATTGATAAAAGAAACAATGGAGACATGAAGGAAATCTTTTTCACGAGGCAAATGGTCAGGATCTGAAATGGATTTCCTGAGATACTGATGCATTCAAACAGAAATTTTATTATTATTAGAAAAGCAGAAATATGCAGGGCTGTGGGGAGAAGATACAAGAGTGGCACCGAGTGAATTGCCCCTTTGGAGAGGTGGCATGGATATGATGGGTGCAAAGGCCTGCTGTGTTGTAACACATTCTGTGATTGTTCCTGCAGGGCTTCCAGAACACCCAGTTCTTTAACATTTATCTCCTGGTTACCAATCTGTTCCCAAAGAAACTTTTTCAAAATATTCCTATCAAAACCCATCATTATAACACCATTCGGGTGTAATCATTATAACCAACCAGTGGGATCTTTGGCTATGGAGGCATCACATTTGAGCCCAATGCTATCCTTACGCAATGTCTCTGAATTAGGAGTAGGTTTAAACCCTGCAATTGTTAATTTTAAAGAATCTATGAACAACACCTCCCACTTAATTCCCACACCCCAAGAGAGAGTTTCTCAGCCATGGACTGAGGGTCAACTAACACAAAACAGACCAAAGCATCCCTGCTCACTACTCCTGAAGAAAGTGCCTTGTATATTCATTTTAAAAAAAAGTTTTGTTATTAATGACAACTTTGTAATGTTTACTTGTAACTTGATCCAAAAACCACATCTGCAATAGATCAGTGACTCACTCACCATAAGCTGCTTCAGGTCTGCTCTTTCCGCAGGATTCTTTATCAAACTTTTAAATAAAAAAAAAGACACTGTCAGATATTAAACAAGAATCATAGAATCCCTACAGTGTTCAACCAGACCATTTGGCCCATTGAGCTCACACTAGCCCTCTGAAAAACATTCCACCCAGACCCACCACCCCCACCCTATCATTGTAATCATGGACTTGCAGTGGCTAATCCACCTAGCCTACGTATCTTCGGACAGAGAGGAAATTGGAGTACCCGAACAGTCGCCTGAGGGTAAAATCAAACCCAAGTCCCTGGCGCTGTGAGACAGCAGTGCTAAACACAGCCACCGTGCTGCCCTGTGCATTTAATTATACATTAAAAAAAAATCTTTCTGAAGCAAAAGAGACACTTGATCAGCATGTGTTTACCATTGTGAGCATTCGCTCCTTCTATCACAGGCACACCATAGCAGCAGTGTGTATTATCTACAAGATGCATTGCAGCAACTTACTGAGACTTCTTAGACAGCACCTTTCAAAACCACAATCCAGACCACATAGAAGGACAAGCTCAGTAGATACACAGGAACACCACCTACTGCAAGTTTCCCTCCAAGGCAGTCACCATCCTGACTTGGAAATATATCACGGTAGCTGGTCAACACCCTGGAACTCCCTCTGATAGCATGTGAATGCCCCTACACCACAGGAGCAGCAATGGTTCAAGAAGGATGCTCACTATCATCTTCTCGAAGGCAGCTGGGGACAAACAGCAAATATTGGCTTTGCCATTGACAGTCTCACACTGTGAATGAGATTTTAAAAAGCAGATATTGGCATGGCAGGTTCTCCCTAGCTGTTCTCTACATCCTTGAAGCTGCCAGAGAGACAGACACTGAGACGAGGGCAGGTTTCTCTAAGGAGGAGAAACTAGTGGATCCTCTACCTCTGAGTGACCTGAGCGTGGGAGCCAACTATCACGACTTCAGATAGTGCCACAGCAAAGATGGAACAAATGGGTGGCATTAGAAGAAACAGGAAGTAGCCTTACAAATATAACATTGCAGAGCATTCTGTTGGGAGCAAAGTACACATTGGACATCACATCAGCCAGTTCTATCACTTTGGAGTCAAAAGGCGGTGAGTCCAAGTCCCACTCCAGAGATTTCAGCCCAGGATTCAGGCCGACTCTCTAGTGCTGTCCTACGTGGATATTATCAGAATGACTGGAAAATCCCATTCGCCCTCTTGGGTGGATCTAAATAGCTACACGTCACTGTTTTGAAGAACAGCAGGAGTGTTCCCCACTGCCTTAGCCAATATTTCTCCCATGACTAGTTTTACTAAAACAATCTTTCTGCTTATTAGATTGGTGTTTACAGGAGTTTACTGTGTTCAGTTTGACTGTTATGTTCCCTATGTTACAAAGGTAATTATACTTTAGAAGTAGGTAAATACCTTTGCAGTAACCAGAGGTTGTGAAATGTTCTCTCTCTATAAAACTGAACTATCAACATCCTTTCTACCCCTCCCCCCAACCAAATATTGCATAAATGCGGTCCCCTCCGCACTTCACATCAGCTCTGATGGACAGTCATCCAGACTCGAAATGTTAGCTTGCTTTCTGTCCATGGATGCTGCCTGACCTGCTGCAATCTCCACCATTTTTTGTTTTCAGTCTCTCTACAAACATCGAGGCCCCTGGCTTTTCTTCAACTCATAATTCTGGTGTCTAGCCACTAGAGGGAGGTGTTGACTACTGAGAGGAGACTATTGTGCATTCACCGTTTTTATTTTCCAGTCTTTATTCAAATTCTAACCGCAAAACTGTAGATGAGGAACATGGAGCAGATTATTGGTCTGTAGTTTGGGAGGAATTTTCCTGGCTCTACAGTTTCAGCTGTATTAATTTGCATTTAACATAACTTACAGCAGAGAAACCGACCTTTTGTCCTCTGGGTCCCTGCCCTTGTTGGCCCATGGGTTTTACTCTCTCCTCTTCATCTCACTCCATCAACACCAACTTTTACCTTCTTTTACTCTCATCTGTTTTTTTTCTTACCTTCAATCCTTTTAAAAGCATCCAAATTAGTCACCTCAACTATTTCTTGAATACAGTTTCACAAGGTGGTTTTCTTAAACTCACTATGTCAAAGTGAGAATCTCATTGAATTTTAATTAAAAGGAGTATTTCTTTCCTCCAAGTTCTCCCCATGGATACCAGAAAGACAATTTAATCCCAGGCCGACATGTGCTCCTGGAGAGTTTTGTTTTTATTCATTCCCAGCATGTGGTGTCACTGGCTAGGCCAGCATTCATTGCCCATCCTAGGCCAGAACAGGGAAGGAAGGCAGTTTCTTCCCCTAAATGACATTAGTGAACCAGATGGATTTTCCAGACAATCAACAATGGTTTCATGGTCATCATTAAACTCTTAACTCCAGATTTTTATCGAATTCAAATTCCACCATCTGCCATGGCAGGATTCAAATCTGGGTTCCCAGAAATTTTTTCCAGTGATTCTGGATTAATGGTCCAGTGATAGTACCACCAGACCATCACCTCCCCTGCAGGGGAAAATACTTGGGTGAAACTGTGAGTTTACTACAGAGAAACATGTTCCTAAAGTTGTTGCTGCTGTACCGGCCACACTGATAGGTTCACAAACACGTTTCCTTGTGGGTCTCCCACACCACCATTAGTTCAGTAATCTCCAGAGTGACCCTCCTGAAAATCAGGAGGACACGCCAACATGCACAGATCACATGATGCAAGCAGCGTGGAACAGCTCAGCATCAAAATCCCTGGTTTATCAACACGCCTGACTGACCTGAACGCATCTCCAAACTGCTTGTGCAAAGACCAGAAAATTAGATTTATGTCTTTGTCAGAGAGAGCAAGGACAACAATCAAAGTCATTCATTGCATGTGAACTTCTGCACTTTTTCTCAGATGTGATAAGATACTATATAAATGCAGGTCCTTCTTTCACTATCACTTCATCCACTTTGACAGAACAGCAAAGTTTTTTTTGGTGGAAATGAAACAAAGATCGGTTCTACTCGTTGCTCCTGTTGAAGGTTGGTCAGTGATGAACCTTCCCAGGGATTCCTGCAAATTACATACAGGAACTGAATGTTCCTCTCAGAATTTCTCATTTCCTGAGGGAGATATGGTGTCAGTCCAGAGAAATGTACTCCAGATCAGAAAGTGAACCCATGAAATCTCACACAGCCACTCCCTCCACCAGGAACATGAGGCTTTTCATCATTAATAACTCACTCACCATTTATTCACAAAGTCCTGGAATTCTTCACTAAATACTCCAGTTGGCAATTTAGGGGGTGGCTGTAAATGGAATTAACAGATAAATAATTTTATAAACAAATAGAGAAATGGATAGAAACACTGTTTGCAATTAATGTAGGCTCAAAATATGTTAGAAAGACAGCAAATTGACAATGTGTAGCATTTCTGACACCAAAAGACACATCAAGACTCTGAAATTCTGCAGTTCATATTTTCATTATGTTCATTCTATTTACATGTGGCCAATAATGCTCATTTCCCTCAAGTGACTGTCACATGATTGTATATTGGTCACCTCACAGCAAGCAATGCCATGGGGGATCTGCACATATCCACAGGGGCAGAGCACAACAAAGATGTTCAAGCGCTATCCAGTGAGCAAAATCACAAATAGGAGGTGGTCATTCAGCCCCTCAAGCCTGTTCCACTACTCACTGGGATCGTGGTTGATCTGCACCTTAATGGGATTTACTCGCACTGGCACAATGTCCCTTAACCATCAAAAATCTATTCATTTTATTGTGAAAGGAGCCCAAGCTCTCACCATCCACACTGTGACAAAGTTTCAGATTTCAACCTTCCTTTCTGTGAACACAGGGACCAAGAGAAACCTTGGACTGGATTTCAGTTTGGGCGCAAGGGTGAGGATGGTGGGATGGAAAGTGCAGGGTCTGGTTAGTCCTGCTCCTGCCACCCCAATTCCTATACAACAAAGAAGAGGCCCTTCAGCCCATTAAGTCTGTGCCAATCCATTTACACTAATTTCACTTTCCAGCACTTGCCCCATAGACTTGAATATTATGACATTTCAAGTGCTAAAGATTGTTAGGTTTCCCATCTCAACTACCTTCACAGGCAGCGAGTTCCAGGGCCCCACAATCCTCTGGGTGAAAAGGTTTTTCCTCAAGTCCCCTCTGAACCTCCTGACTTTTACATTAAAATTATGCCCCCTTGTTACTGACCCTTCAGCTAGGAGGAACAGCTGCTTTCTACCCACCCTGTCAATGCCCCCCAATCTTATACACCTCTCTCAGGTCCACTCTCAGCCTTTTCTGCTCTAAAGAAAAACTATTTATATCCAACCAGCTTCTCTTCATCACTGAAATGCTCCATACCAGGCAAATCTCCACTGCACCCCCTCCAGTGCAGTCACATCCTTCCTGCAGTGCAGTGACTAGAACTGCACACAGTACTCCAGCCGAACCAAAGTTCTGCACAGCTCCAACATAAGTACCCTCCCCTTATAATCTAGGCCACGGCTGATAAAGACAAGCATCCTATATGCTGCCTTAACTACCCTATTAGTCTGTCCTGCCACCTTCAGGGAACCGTGGACAAGTATCCCAAGATCCCTTTGTTCTTCTGAGCTTCCTGGTGTCCTGCCATTCATTGAACACTCCCTTGTCTTGTTACTTCTCCCAAAATGCATTGTCTCTCAATTTTCGGGGTTATATTCCATTAGCCACTGATCTGCTTAGGTGACTAATCCGTCTCTATCATCCTGTAAACATCAGACCTTCTTTCTCACTATTAGCAACTGACTAAACCTTTGTGTCTTCATACTTAGCAAGACACGACCAATACTCACTGATCTCAATCCACATGGACAAGGAGAACCACGACTTTGACTGGGACAACACCAAGATCCTGGGACAGGCTAGGCAGAGACAAGCACAAGAATTCCTGGAAGCATGGCACTCCACGAAGCATGCTATTAATAAACACATTGAACTCGACCCCATATACATTCCACTACGGAGGAAACCCGGAAGTGAGGCAATCCATCGCAACGGACCCCAGAGTTTAAAAACCAGGCGGGAAAACACACCAACGTTTCATCAGAGGCTGCACTGAGGATGTTACCAAGCACAGTAACAAAACGTCTGTGGAACAACAAACCAGCTCGGCGAGCCAACCAACCTCAACACCCACAACCCGAGCTACAGATCTACTCCAAAACCTTACTTAACAATCTCCCACATTCGCATCTACATTGTTTGCATATCTCATGAATAAGGGGCCCAGCACTGATGCCTGTGGTACACCACAGTACACTGGGACTCAGTCATACAAACAGCTTCCTACCACCTCCCTCTGGTCTCCTGTCACTAAGCCAAATTTTCAATCCAATTAGCCAAATTATCCTGGATCCCGTGTGCTTTTATCTTTTCTCATATCAGTGTCCCACGTGGGACTTTGTCAAAGGCTTTGCTGTAATCCATATAAACTACATCAACTGCACTACCCTCATCCACACACCTGCGCACCTCCTCCAAAAATTCTATCAAACGTTTTAGGCACGACTTCCCTCTGACAAAGCTGCGTTGATTATCCCTGATCAAACCATGCCTCTCCAAGTGGAGACTAACTCTCTATTTCAGAATTTTCTCCAGTAGTTTCACTATTACTGATCTGTAATTGCCTGGTTATTGTCTATCTATCGCTTGAAAAGTGGAATCACATTCACTGTCCTCCAGTTCTCTGGCACCTCCCCTAAGCTCGGAGAGGAATTTAAAATTTGGGTCAGGGACCCTGTAATTTCCTCCCTCATTTCCCACAGCAGCTCGGGGTACAACTCATCCAGACCTGGAGATTTGTCCACTTATAAAACTGCCAAAATCTCTAGTGCCTCCTCATTTGCTGTGTCAATCTGCTCAAGAAGCTCACAGTCGCTCTCCCTGAATTCTATATCTACATCATCCTTCTCCCAAGTAAAGACAGATGTAACATACTCGTTTAACATTCTACCAATGTCCTCCAGCTCCACACATCAATTTCCCCCAGATCCCTAATGGGGTCTAGTCTTTCCCTGGATATTCTCTTCCCCTTGGTTCTTCAATTCCAACATAACCACAGAAGCTAACTACCAGCATTTTGTGGAATTTTTTTTTGTTTTTTACTTGAATCTTGATTTACTTTTTGCTGCCTGCGAGTGTTATCAGAATATCCGTCTGCTTCCGGTTGATCTTCTGGAATTCAGGCGGCAGCTGAATACTGTCCAAGATAGATTTTTATTGGAAAAGGAAATTTATACAGAGTATGGGGCATCCAGGCTGCCTGATCCCTTTAAACCATGTTAAAGGAGCAGTGACCTGGTTATAAAATGAATAAATCAGTCTGCTGTCAACGCCAAATATTCGATTTTAGATTAGTGGGTGGAAGGCTGTTCATGTGCAATGTAAAGACCCACATAGATCAGTTGGGCTGAATGATCATAATTACTGTGTCATCTCACCAGCCACCTGCCCAGTTTCTTCCTATTCCTGAGTGAGAATTACCGTGAAAAATAAAATGAGACTCACAACACAACCCAGTCAGTGAAAAGTGGAAATTGGGTGTGGGACTGACCTCATTCACAATGTAATCCAACAGTTCGAATATTGCCATTGGGGGCCGACAATCGCCACCAAAAGCTGTAAAGAGAAATGATCAATTTAAACAGACCGAGAGGGAGACTGGAAATCTGTTTTGTCAAATTGTTTAATTCAACAACAACTGACCAAACTACTCCCAACCCACTGTGTCCCACCGCTGCATTACCCCAGCGATACAGCCTCCCTGTATCCCAGCACTGCGTTACCCTAGCAATAGAGTGTCCATGTATCCCAGCGCTGCGTTACCCCAGTGATACAGCCTCCCTGTATCCCAGTGCTGCGTTACCCCAGCAATAGTCTCCCTGTATCCCTGCGCTGCGTTACCCCAGCAATAGTCTCCCTGTATCCCTGCGCTGCGTTACCCCAGCAATAGTCTCCCTGTATCCCAGTGGTCTCTAACTTCAAAGATTTGGACATCTTTGTAAATGATGGGAAATGAGTAAACAACTAAAACTCACCGCTCCCTGGACATCCTGGTGGTTGAGGGTTTGGCTCTGAGGATGAAGAGTCCTCTCCCACGCGACAGCCAAAGATCTGTTCGAGTTCCTTAGCATCAGGTGGAGGAATTGGATACCTTCCGATGGCCATCTCCACCAGAGAGAGCCCCATACTCCAGATATCGGACTGAACAGAATAATGTGTCCCCTGGAGTCTTTCAGGCTGAAAAATAGTCAAAATAAAGGAGATGACGAGGGAAGTTCCTTGACTCTTGGCAACATTTGGCCCATCGTGCCTTTGCTGGCTCTTCGAAAGAGCTTTCCAATTTATCCCATTCACCTGCTCATTCCTCTAAGTCCCACAAAACATTCAATCATTGTATCAGGGAAGGGTAGAAATTTGAACCTGTTGTTCCCATCTCACAGGAATAACTGATACAAATCCTTCCAAACCCAAAACGCATCATAAACCTATCCAAAAGAGTTATGATTGGCTGATTGGCCTCTGGCACAATATCACTGACTGACACGAAGTGAAACTGGCTAATTAACATATTAATTAATGTCAACTCAAGGATATTTTTGCAATAGATTGATTGGAAACAAAATCTAAAAATCACCAAGCACATCTTTATTCAGTCTGTTTAAATATTTTTGTGAGTTTCTTGCTCCTGGAGTCGGGAATCATCTGGTAGCAAATATTTTCTTCCGTTAGGTGCTGGGTTTCTCAAGACAGAAACTAGCCCTGAAAGTACAAGAACAAATCCAGGACTTGCTGGACACAGAATCTCTCTCTTCTACTTTTTCCCAAATCACTCAGAAAACCGCCCACAGCCTGATCAGGTACAGCGAGCTCTGTTTGCAATTCTTGGATCGTTATACTTTTTGGAGAGACTCTGAACAGAATCTGGTAACTTTAGAGCTAGAGCAAAGCAAGTTTCTAAATGTAAATCCAAGGAAGTCACCAGGGTAAATGCTTCCATTTCCCTCACAACATCAGAATTCCCTGATCCTCGCAGAATATTTTCTGCATTTTCCTGATCTTCCTGCAGATTCCAGTGTTTAGATTTTAAGGATGTATCTTCTCTGGAGATAACTGCAGAGGGGATATAGCCTCAGCAGTGTCACTAAGATCAGAGCTGACGTGTAATAACAGAACTGAACTTACTGACATATAAGATCTGGTCCCAACAAATGAGTTCGCCATAGAGTCGATCAGCTGCCCACTAACCCCAAAATCACAAAGTTTGATTTCACCACGTGAATTCACCAAGATGTTTGAAGGTTTAACATCTGGAAAAGAGACAAATTTAAAAATACAAGAAAGGATACATTTCTGATTTACTTTAATTGGTTACTTGCAAAAAGCAGCATCATTAATGACATAAAAAAAACTGCACAACTTCCAATACATGAGAAAGTTAAGAAGCAAATGTCACAGCAAAGTACAAATTTAACAGAGGAGAAAACTGACACTCAATAATAGCTTGGATAGTTTGATGAAAGATAAATAAATGAGGGGACATTTGCACATTTACCTCCTACACAGTATGAACGTATGATCTAATTTTCATCTGAATGAACAAGCACTGACTGTTTAATTAGAGATCAGAATCAGCCCGCAGACCCTGAGCTGAAGGTGTGCATACGTGGACTCTGTAAATCGTAGACTGTAAGCAGCAGCCTGGAAATGGGATGGAGGGAGGTACAATGAAGGCATTCAAGAGGCACTGGATGATTATTTGAGAAGAAATAGTGCACAACAGTATGGGGGATAAAAGCAGGAGACTGGCACTAAGTAATGGTGCTCATTTGAAGAGCTGGTGCAGGCACAAATGGGCCATTTTTTTTATTAACGGGATGAGGGCATGGCTGGCCAGGCAGCATTTATTGCCCATCCCTAATTGCCCAGAGGGCAGTTCAGAATCAACCACATTGCTGTGGGTCTGGAGTCACATGTAGGCCAGACCAGGTAAGGATGGCAGTTTCCTTCCCTACAGGACATTTGTGAACCAGATGGGTTTTTCCGACAATGGACAATGGATTCACAGTCACAACAAAGTCTCAACAGACTGTCAGAGGGCGTTATATAGACAGTAATTTATTGTCACCAATTCCTTTCAGTTCAAGGGTTACATAGAATCATAGAATCCCTACAGTGTGGAAACAGGCCCTTCGGCCCAACAAGTCCAAATAGACTCTCAGACTATCCCACCCAGACCCATCCCCCTAATCTACACATCCCTGAACACTATGGGCAATTTAGCATGTCCAATCCACCTGGCCTGCACATCTTTGGACTGTGGGAGGAAACTGGAGCACCGGAGGAAACCCACGCAGACAGTGGCCCGAGGGTGGAATCGAACCCGGGTCCCTGGTGCTGTGAGGCAGCAGTGCTAACCACTGAGCCACCGTACCACCCAAATGAACAAGATGAAGTTAATATAGAGGAAAGTAGATTGATTTTTACTAGAAAGCCAGCCCCAAGGCAGCTGCACATTATCTTGTGGGGACAGCTGGATACCCAGCATTTCTTTCACTTCACCACTGCAGGCTGTGCCTTCAGCTGCCTGGACCCTAAGCTCTGGGGTTCACCTTGGCAAACCTCTCCACACTCACTCTCCTCTTTAGGATGTTCTCTAAAACCAACCTCGTTAAGCAACCTCAGCCAACCTAATAGTTCCTTATGTGGCTCAGCATCAAGTGTTATTTAATAATGCTCCTGTAAAGCACCTTGGGATAATTACACACACAACAGGTTCTGTACTAATGCAAACTAGTGCATTTATGCTGAGAAATTATATAGTTGACATAGCAACGTGGTGAATATTGTTTTGTGCACGACACAAGTGCTCTGAAATGGTTCAGTGAGACAAAGTGAATCACCACAGCTGTGATTGCGTGGGAGCGAGCTGCTCTCACTGTCAAACGTTATTAATGCTACTTTAATTAGGCAAACATACTACAGGGTATTGGTTATGGGACTAATAGCTTGGGACCAATTTACATCAAGTTTGAATGTCAGGAGCCTTTTATACTGTAGAATTCTGCAGGTCAGGCAAATTTTAGTGGAAGATATACATATACACAAGGAAACAGCATTTAATAAGACAAATACCTCGGTGCATGATCTTGTGTTTCTCTCGCAAATACGCCAATCCCTTGTTAACCTGCAAAGATTGTAATTGTGTTTTAAACAGCATGGTTTTCTTCAAAGGACATGCCAGGACCAAGTTGGTTTATACCTAAAATGCATAAACTATCTTACCCCAGCTGTCAGCTTCTTTACCTTACATTTCAATTCCCTGTTTGTTTTTATTAGAGTGCCACTACTGGCAGCAAAGTGTAATTACAGGGTTAGTAGGAACTGCAGATGCTGGAGAATCCGAGACAACAAGGTACAGGGCTGGATGAACACAGCAGGCC